CCGAAGAGGTACCGCATCATTTGGACTCGTCTCCTCCGTCCCAAATATTTCACCAACGCTCCTTGTGCTAGCCGCTGGGAAACCGGAGCAACGTGCCCTGGAGCGGTTGCAGGCCCCAGAACAGACCGCTGCACCCCAGCCCCGTCGTTAACTGCTCTCAGGATATCAGAACGCTAGGGAGTTCAGAGAGGGTGTGTCTTGCCCGAGGTCACACAGCTACTGTTGGCCCTCAGCCACTAACCCCGGGTGGAGCGCGTGCGAAGGGTTTGGAAGGTGGTGTTGGCAGGTGGAGGGTAGGAAGCTGGCCCTTGAGTAGGAAGACACTTAAGATGGAGGGGAAATGGGGCATTCGGTTGGAATTCCTTGGGCCTGCCAGGCTCCTGCACTCCTGCAGCCCACGGTTTTCATCGCTGGATTGTGTGGTAATGGTACCTGTTCCCTCCTCTGCAGACCCTGAGGGTTCCAGTGGTGAGAGCTGTATGGGGGAGGGAGTCAGGGGAGGCCCTCCCAACGCCATACCTACAGAGCTCACACATCCGAGTACAGACCCAAACCCAGAAGGTTGGGCAGGTACTGCCACAGATGCACAGATGGAACCACTATTGACTCACTGAGGTAGGTACTCTCCCATTTTACCCGTAGCCAAATCCTAAGTAGGAAAGGAGGCTCAATTTGAGCCTCACAGAGGTGGTGACTTCCTCAAGGTCACAGAGCTAGGAAGAGGCAGAGTCAGTGTCCAAGCCCAGGCAGGCTGGCATCAGATGCTCTGTATTTAACAGTGTATGCCTGCTGCCTCAGTAGCCTGGAGGAAACGAACAACAGTGCTGCACACACTGAGTGCTCAGTAAATGTCATCTGTCACTAGTGTTGTTGTTGTCCTGATTTTACAGATGAGAGACTGAGGCAGAAAAAAGCAAAATAACTGACCCAAGTTTCAAAGCTGGAGCCAGAGTGCTGTAGACCTGAGCCCCTGCCCCAGGCACACCTTTACAGACACTCCACCCTCCCTCCATCTGCACAAACACGGCCACTTCTTTATAGGGGAGCAAAAGTGTGGGGCTCATATGTGAGGGCAGTGTGTTCAGGCCTGCTCTGAGTAGAGAGGACCTGGCAGGGGAGCTCTCAACCCCCTCTCTGGGGTGTGAGGCTCTGGGCTCAGGTCTGATACTTCATGACAAGTGAGAGGTCTAAGTCCTCAGTTGGCTCTATCAGGCTGTGCTGTGTCCCTGGCATGTTCCTTCTATCTCTTTGGTCTGTGAGCTCTACCATGTAAGGTTACTGGGCCCTGTGTCTGGAGGATGGCTTGAGGGGTCTAAAGAAAACAGTGGGGTACTTTCTGACCCTGAGGGAGAGAAGGAGGCAGCCAGCTGTCCAGGCTCTTGGGTAGGCAGATGGAACAGGACAGGGCCACAGCAGGAGGCCATATCCCCCATTCTTCCTGCCCAAGCCTTCTTGCCAAAGTGGAATCCCTCCCACCTCCTGCAGAGGAAGCCTGTGGGTGGAGGCTGGAATGTAGCATCCAGTGCTTTGCACTTACTTAGAGGGTCCAGGATGAGTATTTTTCTGCCCCTTATCCACTCCGATTGGGAGCCCCCCGGCCAGTCCCTGTGCCTTGTGCTCTCCTCTTGCCCCAGGATATCTGTGCTTTTGATTATTGAGCAACTCCTGGGCACTTGTGTTGGCATTTGGGAAGGAACCAAACTTAATGTGAGGGAAAATGTGATCCCGTTTGCCCCTTGATGGCTGAGCCATATTTCCCCTCATCCATTTCCTCATCTGCAAAGTAGAACCAAGGCTGGTACCTAGCTCTTAGGTCACTGGGAGAACCACTGAGAAGATGATCAGGATGGGCCTTGCCCAGATTGGCAGGAGATCCTAGAACCCTAATTTCTTTACAGATCTCATAGCAGATGCCTGGGCAAGGGTGAGCCATTCCCACCTGGGGTTTCTGGAGCCCACAGAGCCACACTTCTGGGATCTCTGGCTAGGGAAGCTGCTTTCTGAGCCACTTTCCTCATCTTTAAGATCAGAGTAACAGAACCTGACCTCAAGGGGGTATGGAGTAAGAATGAGGCACACAGTAGGTGTGCAGGCCACCCCACATTAAGGTTCCAAAATATAAGACCTGTCAGTGAACCTGAGAGGGGATTTTACAGGTAAGTCCAGATTTCTGGCTTTTCTGGAAAATCTGATAAAACTGAGCCTCCTTCCCACTTGCTCCAGAGTGATTCTGCTCATGCCCAGGAAGGTTTTTCAGGTAAAGGAAAGTTATATTATTGGCCTCTGGCCCTTGGGGTAAACTTGAAGGACTGTAGGGCCTCCCAAGGGAGTAAACCATTGGGGCATGCATGACAGAAGACAGGGCAGGGATTTCCTGGCCTTGTAGCACCAGGGGCGAGAGTCAAACCCAGAGCCCCTTACTTGGGCATCCAGCGTCCAGTGTGAGCCAGGCCCTGCTGAGGGTATGGGCAACAGTCCCATGAAGGTACTTCTGCTTTTGTGATGCAATGTGACAACAGGCCTGCCATGTATTGAGGAAGCCAGAGCAGCTGACTGCCAGGAGACAGGTCAGGGAGGCTCTGGGGAGGCAGTCTTTGAGTTGAGCCCCAAAGCTTGAGCAGGGTTTTAAAAACAGAGGTGAGTAGGGATATTGAAGATGCTTTAAACAGAGATCATTGGTACAGTCAGGCTTGGTGGTTTCAAAGTATGTAACTTGATTGTGGCTCAAAGTTGCTTTCTGGGGGTGTGGGAGTGGTGAGGTGTCCTCACTGTGTGGCCTCAGGCAAGCCATTCACTGCTTTGAGCCTTAGATCTTCTCCCATAAAATGAAGCTGGCTACCCCAGTGGTGCCTGCTTCCCAGTGAAGGCTGGACATTAGTGCACTTAAACATTCTGAATCCTCTTGGGCCAGGAGGGGATTATTGAGTAAGACACAAAGCATTGTGACAGGGTTATGTACAAATTAAATGGCATAAAGTGAAGGTCGGGGTGCATCTATCCCTGAGATCAGAGATGGGAGTGTTCAGTACAAGATGGAGACCTCACAACTTCCTCTAAGAGGTGAGATGAGAGCAGAATCTGGAAGGGCAGAGAAGAGGAATGAATTGATAGGAAGAGAAGCAGGGAAGGCGAGGAAGCATCACCATAGTTGTTGAGAAGTGAGCCTGAAAAGTTTGATGGGGGAAGCTTGTTAAACACAGCCCTGAAGGCAGGCAGTAGGGAGCCATTACAGATTCTAACCTTACACAGGCAATGGGCTCTCTTAACAATATAGGCACTTTTGAATATGGGAAGAATTTTCTAATTGTTTTTACATAGTGAGAAAAATAAAAGATTGGAAGGGATATAGAAGACGGGAAAGTTGATGATAAGGAGATGGTTAGAGAAAGGCATCATCACCCTGTACATCACCTGCAAAGTTTTCGCTGTGATGGATAGAGTTGGGAATTCCCAGTAACATCTATTTCACTGCATCATGAACTGTATCTCCTGTGCTTAAAGATCTGCAGACAGCCCCTGGGTACCATCTTCCTCCATAGTGCAGTTCAGATTGTTGCTGGTCTACACAACACCTTGAATACCCATATTCCCCAGACTTCCTTCTGGATTGTTTCCATTGGAACCTTTCCAGAAGGGAGATTTCTGACTGTAAGGAAGGAAAGTTTCTATAGCTTAAAAGACTTTAAGACATACTCTTTCACAGTAGTTTTCTTAAGAATTTTCAGTAGGTTATACTGTATAAGGGTTTTTTTTAAAGAGCAAATGTACAAAAGCATATACAATAAAAGTCTATCCTGATCCAGCGCTCTCTTCCAGTTCTCCTTAAGGTCAATTGTTAATCAGATTGTACCCTGTATATCTTTCCAGAAATACTATATGAAGATAATGTATCTACCCAAGTTTAAAAAGTATTGATGCAAATTGTTACACTGTGTTCATCATCTTGCTTTCAATTTTTATTTTTAAATTCAGACTTATGAAATAGACCAAAAGAGCCTAGAAAATGACCCCCCGTCCCCCACCCAAGCTTAACAAATGTTAACATTTTGCACTGGCATCTTGTGTAGGGCTGTATTGGAGGTAGCCCTATGTCAGTGCACCTCCTGTACAGAGGAGTCCAGTTACGATATGCGTACATTATGAAGTCTTTTCCCAGCTCTCGCATATTTAGGGTAGTATTGATGTACTCTTTTTTAATTTTTAAAAATTTTTCTTAAATATATGTGAAGGTAATACCCCACTCTGTATAATGTCTGCCCTTGAGAGGTATCAAGGCAAAGGAGAACGAAGCTCGCCTTTGGCTTGGGTTGAAATCCCTGCTCAGCTACCCTTCCTAACTTACGTGACCTGGGGTGAGTGAAGCCCCTGTTAATTCTCTTTACCCATATGTAAAATAAGTTGTAGTAATATCTCTCTCATACCTGCTAGGAGGAATAGAGTAGAAAACTAAAGACTTGATTGGGCTCAGTTTCTCAATCCCTTTAGCGAAGGAGCTTTCCGCGGGGACATCAAGCTCTCGGATTCTGCCTAGAGCCAACTGGAGCAAAGGATAACCACAGCTTCAAGTTGTTCCCCGCCCCTTTCCCTGGCCACGCTGAGGGCGGGGCGGTTATATGTCTCTGTAAGGCAGGGCCAATCGGCAGCCTGGTAGGCGATAGCTCGTTTGCATGGGTTGCCCTCTATTGGTCCGTTGGGCAGTGTGGGCCGTCCCAGTTTTTTAAAGCCGCGGCTTTAGTATAAACACGGAGATGCGAAGCGGCCAGGCTTTGATGTCACCGTGGCGCAGTAGTTCTTGGGGCTTACGTCATCTCCGGGGAGGTTGCCGTCCCTGAGCTGTTACAGCCTAACCACTCGAGCTGGCTTTAGAGGCTGCCCCCGCCCCATCGAACGTCAGCCCCATTGCACTTCAGTATCCCAGGCGGCGCCCCGTTCCCGAAGGACCATGATACAGTAAGTCCGGGCTGACGCTTTCCCGGGGGGACCCATTTTTCCGGCAGGGAATCTGAGCTCTAGAGGCGCAGTGGTTGGTGACTTGGCATAGCAAGTTTGAGTTGTAGCCGACTGGTCTTGGCCGCTCTGGGGGTCTCCCATCTTTAGGTCAGGCCATGTGACCCCGCCCCTTGCCTACGATGGCCGCGATCACTTTAAGTAAGAAGGTGGGGGCGAAGTTTTTTAAAAATCTGCCTCCAAGATGGAGGTGCACTAGCCACGTGCCTAGCCGCGGCGAGCGATTGGTTCACCGAGCACCCTCGCGGGGCAGAGATCTAGGCGGGGCGGCCCCAGGCGCCCGCCGGCTTGCCGGAACCTCCCGGCGCGCCCCCGCGAACTCCCCCTCCCGCCCGACGCGCGACCCCGCCGCTTCGAATGTTGTGAATCAAATGTGAGGTTTGTTACATTCCGCTGCTGCCGCGGACAGTTCTTAAAGGGCCAGCCGCCGGCAGCTGCGCAAACCGGGTCGCCGCCTGCGCCGCCTCCAGCTCCCGGAGGGCCTGGAGGGAAAGAGGGTGACCGCGCGTGGGCCTCCCGAGGCGTACGCTGGCAGACAACAAAGAGATCCGCGGAAGGAGCCGGACTACCCCCGGAGTAGGGGGTGGGGAGGGGGCTCTTAAAGGGTGCCCCCCACCCCTTTCCAGCTTGGCCTTCCTAGGTCGGAAACAAAGGAGTCAACGTGTGGCCTGGCGGCCTAAGGTGAGTCGGGGCCAGAGCCCCCAACTCCCGATTTGTGCATCTTGGAACTCCCGCCCCCTCCCCTGGGACTGGGTGCTGTGCCCTGGCCGGCTCCGCAGGGGTTAATCGCGGGCCGTCCGGAGTGGGGACCGCCAGACGACCCCCCACCCATGGCCCCTGAGGCCGGGCCGAGTCTTCCTTCCCCGGAGGCTGAGCTCTGCGGTGGGAGAGGTCGGAGCCGCCCCCTCCCCCTGCGCCGCCACTTCCTTTGTTGTTGCTTTTGTTTCACGCCGAGCACATGGTCCGAGATCCCTGGCTCTTAAAGTCACAGCGCTCTGTCCCCGACGCCGCAGACGGACGTCTGGTCCCCCACGTCTCCAGGAACGTGGCACCAATGAGTGAGGGGGAGATGAGGGAGGCCCCTCTGCGGGCGGGTGTCCGCATCTTAGCCCGCATCCCCGTCCCCCGAGATGGGTGGCTGAGAACCTCCCCGGAGCCCTGCAGCCTGCTCCTGGCCCGCGTTGAAGAGGGGTCTGCCCCTCAGGGACACTGGTTTTCTCCCCTACTAATGTGACCGGCTGTTTCTTGCGTCTTGTCTCTGCTGTTTTTATTGGGCGTTCTGGGACAAAGAGATTTTCACCCCCATTTTACAGTTGTAGCAACTGAGGCTTACAGAAGCTAAGGTATTTCCTTGACCAAGGTCACACAAGGAAGTATGCGCTGGCCAAGGACTTAGAGCAAAGAACCTCCTAGTCTGGCCCTCAGCGGTCTCCAGGGACATGTTGGGGAGCTGTGCTTGCCCACCAGGAAGTGCTGAGTCTAGCCTGCCTCTTTCTGGGGGGAAACGGAGGCTAGAGGGGGGGCTTCTCATCCTACCTGAATCTATTTATGCTCTCAGGGGCTGACTCTGCTTAGCTGTAAAACAGCCCTTGTTCTTGAAAACATCCTGCAGGCCCAGATGACATGACAGAGGCTCCCTAGACCGGAATTGGTATAGCTGCTTTGGGGCACTGAAGTAGGGAGTTAGCTGCCTCCTTGGGGCAGGGGTGGATCTGTGGTATCATGCCTGCTTCCAGATAAGATTGGATTTAGGGATGGGACCCTCAGGACCCATTTGCACAGACCTTATTGAGAGCACAGCACAGAGGAGTGTGGAAAGGCAGAGCAGCTAGGGGTTTGACCTTGAGCAAGTTGCTAGCTCCAATTCAGGGCCTCACTTAATTCTCTCCACAATAGGGCTAGTCACCTGGGCCTGAAAGAGAAAGCTCTCCTGATCTCCTTTTGGGCCTGGAATAGAGAGCTGGGACTAGGTGGTTTTTGGGGCTACTGATGCTAATGAGAGAGCCAGGGATTGGGGTAATCTAGGCCTTGTGGCCTCGAGCAAGTGACTATTTACTTTCTCTGGGTCTATTTCCTCAACTGTGAAGTGGGTGTGTCCCTTCTGGGCCCCTGTTCCTGGTAGGACTTCAAGAACCAGGGGCCCCTCCCTTGCCAGCTTGGGTATTCCCCTAGGGAGGAATATTCCCAGCTGCCCCCCTGCAGTACTTGAAGTAGCACCTGATTTCTTTCTGTTTGGAGGGTGGTGGTGGAGGTCGGCCTATCTTATTTTCTAATGGTGATCATTCACATTTAAGCTTTACAAATCCTTTCTGCCGTGGCCTTTGAACAGTCCTTGCCATTCCATTTGGAAGTGGTTATTGGGGTGTTCCTATTTTACAAATGAAGGAGCTGAGGCTCAGAGATGGGAAGTGATATGCCCAGTCCTCAGCCTGTACTCTGGCCAGAAGTGGTGGTGACATGTGTGAGAATGCAAGGGTTGACACTGGCATCTCTGGCATCGTCATCCATAGCTAGAGGCCCTGCTCTCTGCTGGTCTGGTTTCTCAGCTCCTTGCTACTTCTCTTTCCTGAGGAGTGGGGGTGGCTCTGAAGGAGCTGGCTACAGAGCAGATCCCATGGGCCTAGGTCTCTGTGGGGTCCACATCCCAAGCCTTGACACTGCCCAGACTCTGGCACAACAGCCTGGCATGAGAGGAGCAGTTATGGCTGCTGCCTGGGTTGTATCCCAGCACACACTGACTGACTGGCCTTGGACCTCACCCCTTGGAGCCTTAGTTTCCCTACTTCTGAATGTTGCTGTGAGAACTCATCACTGTGGCATATGGGAAGTTATTGTTAATGTTCCTCATCGGCAGGACTGTGGGCTGCCAGGATCTCTGAGGTCAGTTAGAGCAGAGGTTCCCAAGCCTAGCTGTGCCATAGAAACTGCTGGTTGGTAAAAATCTAGATCCCCCTGTTCCCCAGACCTTTAAAGATTCTGATGCAGAAGGTCTGGAGTGGACCAGGAATCTATTTCTATTCTTTGAGGGTTTCCTCTGTCTTGGCCTTTTGTTCGCTGGGCTGGATTGTCAGCAGGATTCAGGGAGGCAATGTGTGGAGGGATGTACACATGGCCCACACCAGGGGTCACAAACCCAGTCACCTGTGGTGGGCAGATGGGGAACGGGCCTAGGGGTGGCTTGGAAAAAAAGCTCGTACTCTTAAGTGAGGGGAGCTAAGCAGAAATGAGGGCCCAGTGGGACCAGATTTTCTGCTTGTCCCCCACTCCCAAGAAAAGCCGTATTTTTATGTACTGTCCCAGTTTTTAATGATTGGCCCTAACTTCACTACTGTCAGACCCCAGCCTTAGATCTGTGTGATAGGCTCTGTGGTGTGCATGTACCACATCAGGCCTGCCCTGTGCTAGACACAGGCTGGTCACTGGGCTCTGCCCACCCTTTCTGCAAAGTGCCAGAGTTTGAGTAGGGCGGAAGAAGTGTGAATTCTGGCTCCTCGGCTTCCTGGCTTTGGCCTTGGCTGGGCACCATCCTAGCAGGTGGAGAAGAGCCCTCTTTGCAGGCTGGTTTTGAGAGTAAGGGCCCAGGCTTGTAAAGCCCAGCACAGAGGAAATGTTCTTGCCACTTTTGGGCAAGAAGGAACAAGGTGTTGAGGGGACACTACACTGGCTCCCTGGCATGTCAACAGGGAGGCTGCACTTTAAGCTGGGTAGCAAGGGGGCATGGAAGCTTTGTCGGATAGAGAAAGGGTAGAGGGATCCTCCCTCCAGCTGGTCCTATTTGATGTACCCTTCATCCTCGCAGGGCCTCAGTAGTTCCAGAGCTTTCTCTGCCAGGGCCTCATCCCAACCTCTGGAGTTAATAAATGGTCCCCCAGCTTCCCCGACCTGGACCTCCAGCTCTTACCCGAGGGGGAAGAAACCTGCCCCACTCCGTTCCCACTCAACTTCCTCCCTTAGGTTCTTGCTTCCTCTTTTTTCTCCACCAGCCCCACCTCCATTTGAAGGCTGTGTTGGACCCTCCCTGTCAGCAGAAGGGTGCAGTGAAAGACTCATGGTTATCCTACCTCTCAGCTTTGACACTTGGGCATGTCCCTTCTTCTCTCTGAGCCTCGGTTTTCTCTTCTGTAAAATGTAGCTAACCTTCCTAGAGCAGATGAAGTCACACCCTTGGGTAGGCACTGTGGGAAAGGGTTATGCAAAGAAAGAAAAACGGACTTTCCTTAGGCTTGGAGCCCCTGAGGGCAGGAACCAGATCAGAACCTCTTAACTGGCTGTAATAGGAGACCTGGGCTCCAGGCTGGATTGGAATCTCTCCTGCGCCAACTGAGGTGAAAGGAGGAAGCTGGAGTTCTCCCTGCCACCACCACCCCCCACAAGAAACCCCAGCCACCTGGAGGCCAAAGTTGACCCCCACACCAGGACGCTATGCCCTGGGGACCCCCATCCCTGCACCGAGGGAGACTTACATGAGCCAATTAGCCAGAAACATGCTGGCCAACCCTATGAACTGACCACAGCCCTGAAGGGGGACTGTGAAATAGAGCAGGAAACTGAGGCCCAGGCTCCCTGCACACCAGGCCTGTCACTGGTCTTTCAGCCGTGAACCAGTGCCAAGAGGGCCAGACCCAGAGTACAGGCTGCACATGGAGCTCAGGGGTGTGGTGGCATCAGTGGCCCCTGGAATTGTGGCTGTGCCTCCCTGATCCCTAATGGAGCAAATGCCTAGACTTCTGTGCCTGAAGTTTGTCTGTTTGCTTCCTAGGGTTGTAAGCCCCAGCCCAGCCCCTCCATCCCTCTGCCACCCCTGATGCGACCATGGGCTCTAGCAGTGACTAGGTGGCCACCCTCCACCCCTGCAGGTCAGCAGCGAGTCTCAGCAGGACCCCGCAGCACCCCGGGCCAGCTCCGGGGAAGGTAGGAAGGTATCTCCCAGTTCTGCAGAGCCTCAAGTTTGGGCTGGGGCACAGGGGCCAGGGGTGGCAGGGCACAGGGTCCTGAGCTATCTTCCTTCCCCAGTGGGTAGTGACCTTGGCTTCTCTCCATGCTCTGTGAATGAGCAACCCCCCTCAGTCCTACTGGGGCCTCCTCTCTGTGGTGCAGCCCCAGCCGCGAGGGCCCCCTGGCCAGCCTGCCTGCCCAGGATGAGCGCTTACCCTCCCAGCAGCCGCTGCCCCATCCACCACACCTCCCCATAGAGGAGCACCGAGCTTCGGCTCCTGCCGGCGGGAGCCCCCGAATGCTGCACCCAGCCTCCCAACAGAGCCCATTCATGGTTGATCTCCATGAGCAGGTAGGCAGAACACCCCCGCCCCAACGCCCTGCTGATCCCTAGCCTCTGGCAAGTTTGTCTGAGAAGCAGAGGTAGCAGAGCCGTGATTTCACTTGCTTGACTCATTGCTTGTTCAGGGAGGCATTATTAGCCCCATTTTATAAGTTAAGGCCCAGAGATGGAAAAGGGCCTTCTCTGGGACCACACAGTGGATGAGTGGTAGAGCTGGAAGCCCCTCCCTGATGCCTAGAGGGTTCTTTCTGCCCTCAGGAGCTTGGGGCAGGGGGACAGACAGGTCTGTACTCAGGTAGACCCCAGCAAGAGAAGGGAAGGGAACTGACCAGGCAAGATTTCTTACCTGGGGGCAGCTGTGGCCAGACTTCCTCCCTATAGTTCTGGGGTGTCTCTTTGCCCACAGGTGCACCAGGGACCCGTCCCTCTGTCCTACACAATCACCACAGTGACGACCCAAGGCTTCCCCTTGCCTACAGGCCAACATATCCCTGGCTGCAGTGCACAGCAGCTCCCAGCATGCTCCGTGATGTTCAGTGGGCAGCACTACCCCCTCTGCTGCCTCCCTCCCCCGGTGAGTGAGCCTCTCTGACTCCTACGCCACCCAGCCCAGGCAGGCAGCAGAACTGAGATGAAGTTAGGACACCCATCTAGGCTATCATAGCGCCTACCCAGTTCCAGGCTATCGCCTAGGAAAGTGTGGGTGTGCTCATGTACAGTGAGGGAGCATTTCAGTGCTCAGGGACTTCCCTGCACCCCAGTGCCTGGCTTATGATTTGGAGTTATAACTGGGCTTTAAAAGTGTACTGTCCTGCTTGGATAGCCTTGGCCAGGGATGGGTTGGTCCAGAGGGCTTCAGTAGGGATCTCCTGCTGGATGGAATGGTCTCTGGCCCTTACCACAAGTGCAGACCCAGCCCAGAGCCCAGAAGAATGTTCTCTAGCTCCCCACCCTCTCTCTCAGCAGCTGATCCAGGCATGTACCATGCAGCAGCTCCCTGTGCCCTATCAGGCCTACCCCCACCTCTTCTCCAGTGACCACTATATCCTGCACCCCCCACCGCCAGCCCCACATCCCCAGCCCGCCCACATGGCACCTCTTGGACAGTTTGTATCGCTGCAGACCCAGCACCCACGTATGGTGAGTCTGAGCAATGGGCCTGATGCTAGAGGAGTGGGGGGACTCTCTGTCACTGACTCTGGCTGATCCACCCCTGCCTCTTCTAGCCCTTGCAGCGGCTTGACAACGATGTGGACCTGCTTGGGGAGCAGCACCCCCTGGGGAGCTTCACCTACTCCACCTCTGCTCCAGGTCCAGCCCTGTCCCCATCTGTGCCCCTGCACTACCTGTCCACTGATCCACTGCACCAGGAGCTGTCTTTTGGAGTGGTAAGTGCTGCCCCCAGCCCAGGCTCTAGGGTGACCAGAGACAGGCCCCAGACTGACCTGCCCCTGGCCCCCCAACAGCCATATTCCCACATGATGCCGCGGAGACTGAGCACCCAGAGATACCGTCTGCAGCAGCCGCTGCCCCCACCACCCCCACCACCGCCCCCGCCGCCGTATTACCCCAGTTTCCTGCCCTACTTCCTGTAAGTACCAGCACATCTGTCCCAGGGCTGTGGTGCTCCATTCTCCTGAGGCCTCCAGCGGTCAGACTCAACATAGCCCTGTGGGGTCCCCGGGCCTCTGAAGCCATGCAGCATCCTAACCAAGACACATGCTCTCTCAGTCACCATCTGGGCTCCTCACCCATCTACAGCATCCTGGGACAGACACTGGGGTGCCCTGGTGTGAACGCAGCAGAGCTCTGGGCTTTGTTTCATAGAGGGAGTCGGGAACAGCTCTGCACCCCATATGCCTGCTGACCTTGACCCTGGCTCCCCCATACCTGTCTCCCCCTAGTTCGATGCTGCCAATGTCACCAACAACAGTGGGGCCCACCATCAGCCTAGATCTCGATGTGGATGACGTGGAGATGGAGAACTATGAGGTCCCGTGGAGCCCTGTTCTGCGAGGTGGGGGTTGACGGGAGTTGTAGCCCTGGGCCCTAGTGACCCTTCCCCTTGCCCAAATCCAGGCCCTGCTAAACCTGGCAGAGAGGTTGGGAGATGCGAAGCCCCGAGGCCTCACCAAAGGAGACATTGAGCATCTCCCATCGTACCGCTTTAACCCGGACAGCCATCAGTCAGAGCAGACGCTGTGAGTGCCATGCCCCCATCGCCTGCCCTTCTATGAGCACAGATGGGCTGCGAGGGGCCCCCCTCTTTTGGGGGCAGTGAGCCTTCCCTCTGCTGTCAGCATGGAGGTGACGCTCTGTGCCCTCCTCCAGGTGTGTTGTCTGCTTCAGTGACTTTGAGGCACGGCAGCTGCTCCGCGTCCTCCCCTGCAACCACGAGTTCCACACCAAGTGTGTTGACAAGTGGTTGAAGGTAACACAGCCCAGTGAGCTCCCAGGTCTTCCTCATGTGGTGAGGGAGGAGGGAGGGCCTGGAGGGTCTCCCTCCTCATCCCTCATCCTTGCCATCATCCACAAGTTTGGGCTCTATTCAGGGGCCAAGTCCCCACCAGCAGAACAGACCTGGCTGGGGTGGGGACAGGCAGGAGTGGAGCCTGATGTGCCGCTGCTCCCCCAGGCCAACCGGACGTGTCCCATTTGCCGGGCTGATGCCTCCGAGGTGCCCAGGGAGGCTGAGTGAGGCCCACAGCCGCCCAAGAGAGCCCTGTCCGAAGCTCTGGAAACCCGGGGGTACCTGGGGAGGATGGGGAGGGAGAGGCCCAGACCTGCCCCGTCGTTCCCCCCTGCATTTCCAGCGCTGGTGCCAGGGTCAGCCCCGAGATAAGCCCCTGCAATAATAAGCCCCTGCATTTGCCAAGCTCCAAAGACTCCTTCTACCTGCCAGTTCACCCACCATGACACTGAGTGTCCCCAACTCAGTCTCCCTATTTGCCCTTGGGTCCATCTCTGTTTTCTGCCATTCCTGGGAGCCAGGGGCCCATTCCCCCAGTGTGGCTGGTGGAAATTCTTGGCTACAGGGTGGGCAAAGAGGAGCCCCTGTCCTGGGTCACCTGGTCTCTTGCACTGAAATGGTGTGCCCTCTGCCTGGGTGGCACTAACAGGCATACAGACAGATGGTGAATGGAGGCCATTTTCTGAGCCCCAGGCCTTGATTCTGCCTTGATCCCAGACAGACTCAGGCAGGCAGCCCTGCCCAGGCTGCTGTGATATGTGGGTCTGGCTCCTTTGACTCTCACCCCAGGCACAATATTCCAGCCCCGTCCCAGCCCCAGGCTGGAGGGCATCAGAGCCAGCCTCCAGAGAAGATAGGAGACAGGCCTCGAGCTGGGGTGGCACGTATCCTGAGGGGGCTGGGCCGTACCCGAGAGGGTGAGTTCCTGTGTTCCTGGTAGCCACCTCTCCCTGGCATTGATGGGAGCGAGACAAGTGCCCAATCCCCTCTGTCGTTTTGCATGTATGTGAGGAGCAGCAGGTTTTTTTTATTCATTTGGCCCAAAATCGCGTGTAGGTTTTGGGGTTTGGATTTTTAAATATTTTCTTTTGGTTTAATGGGGAGAATAGGGACCAACCAGGACCGTGTGCCCAGGGGGCCAGGGCTGGGCCAGTCAGCTAGTGGTCATGGGCAGGGCTGGGGGTGCGGTCTGCTCAGCTAGTCACTGCCGTGCACAGCACAGCACGCGTCCTGGAGCCTCCTGGGACCGCATGCTCTTCAGGGCATCTTTCCCTCTCCAGCCAGGGCCCCTGTCCCATCTGCCTGGGTGAGTCCTCCAAGGAAGTCCCAGGGGGACAGGGACCAGGGAGGGCGCGGGCCCCCCTCCAGCCTGAGCCCTGCCCACTGCGGTCTGGAGGCGGCCCCCTGTAGGGACTGGCTGAGCTCCCAGCCTCTCCCTCCCTGGTCCCATCCCTTTCCTTTCCTACCCCAGCTGGGGTTGCTGCCCTGAACGAACCGCGTGCGGGGCAGGCACATCCTAGCAGGCCGCCCCTGGCGCCTGCTGCCTCAGGGACGCTCCAACCACCCTCGTTCTCCCCCGCAGCGGCCCTGGCTCCCTGCCCCCCACCCATGGCCTGCCATGGGGCCCCATCAGCCTGGTCCCACCCCCGTGGAGAACCCAAAGTCTTACTGTATATAACTCCAGGTGATGTTTCTATATTTATAACAGTGTTGAAACCCCATGTGTTTTACACAAAGAACCTCTCTCCGACCCCCCTCCCTTCCCCACCCCAACAAAAGGTTTTTGAAAACGCTTACGGTTCCTGGGGCAAGTGGCAACAGGCTCATGGATTGTGTGTCAGCTGCAGCAATGATTCTAATGAGCAGCTGTTAGGGAAAAAACTATTTAAAATAAAAATCATTTTTAAAAAATTTCTAAAACAATTATTTAGGATATTTGTGATTTGCTGACCTTGCTATAGATGCCATGTTACCATTGATTTCCTGTGGTGGGGGCTTGTCATTGTTTACTCTATTTACCAGTTTCTGGCCTAGGCATGACAGTGGGCACCGTTCCCCCAGCCCTGGCTGGGCCCAGCACCTCTGTTCTGAGTTAGAAAGGTTTATATATATATATATATATAATTATATATATATAAAAAAATATGTAATCTTGGGGGGCCCTGTTCCTTGCACATTTTACAGTTACCTCATTTTTCCCATGTATGTATTTGAGAAAATGCTAATATATAGAGAAAAAAATGGTTCTTAAAGCTTAAATGTTTGGTTTTTTCCATTCCATTGGATTCACATTGGTTTGTAGCATTTAACATAACTAGTATGTTGTATTATATATATATGTGTATACTGATTGAAATTTTTAACAGATTTGTACTTTTTTTAAAAATGGAAGTTGCTAGTTCTGCTTGACCAAGTAGTGCAATCATTATTTTTTTTAATATTGTTGCTGATTTCAGAGGGATATTCACTAATAAATGTATGATGCATATCAAGTATTGCCCAATCTGCCTTTGGCTGCCTGTGTTCTTTTGGTGGGAAGGAGTAAGGGGAGTGGGGGTGTCATCATTCTGAGAGTGGGTAGGGGACAGAGATGAAGTGGGCAGAAAAGACTGTCCTGTGCTGTGGGACCTTCAGGGGCTAGGCAGGGGCTAAGCCCCAGTTAATGATAATACAATATTCTGGGCCATCTGCAGCACAAGCAAATTAGGAAGGATTTCATCTAACTGGTTTGAGAAAACCATCACTTCCTGGCGTGTCATTTAAATTCTGGAGGTAGGTTGTGCTTCAGGCATGACTAGATTGGGCTTGGGCATATCAGAAGGAGCCGAGGTCTCCAACTAATGACTTAAAAGGAACTCTTTGTGGTGGTTCTTTGTAGCTCTAGCTCAGTTTTCCTCTAGCTTAGCTTCATGTTCACGGGACAGCCACTTTTTCCCAGGAGCTCTTAACAATTTCTGCGGTAATCTATATTAGACCCTGTGTGCCCAGCTGGGCCATTTGCTACCATCAGGGAGCTACAACAGCGTGATTGGCCTGGCCTGCATCGCCCACCCACCCATGGGCCCCGCTGAAGGGGACTTGAACCTCTCACCCCCAGGCTCATTTGTGGACAGAAGCCACCCGAAGGACCAGATTGGTGATGAGTTTGCTTCTCATCCAGGATGACCAAGCTTGTCATGCAGGGATACCAGCTTGTCAGCATGCCACCACAATACATGAGCAAATGCAGCGAGCAAATGGCCAGGGGTCAGGAGACCTGGGACCCTGTGATGCCACTGTATATAGCCTTGGTCGGGACACTTCTTTCAGTCTCTGAATCATCTGCAAGTTAGGGGATGATCAGATGAGTGGTTCCCTATGTGTATTTCAGAGAAAGTCCTGTGGAAGCAGAACAGGGTTTATGCAAAACAGCCCTGTGGTCAAATAAGTTGTGGGAATACCCTGTGGAAGGTAGCAGGAGCCTGTATTTCAGAGCTTTACTCTAAGCCTTGGCTATGCTGGTGTTTATAAGCCCCTAGGAGTGGAAACCATGGGCAGCCTCTGACATTGGGCTTGGCTACGTGTAGGTCTCAAGTTGCATTCTCTGGAGCATATTGGGACAGGGTGGGACTAGAACAGTGGTGGTGATTGAGTTCCCAGGGCCCTAGTCTGAGAAATTGTCAGGTAGGGAAGCCTCTAAGCTTTTTTCAGTATTTAAAAAAGCCTATAAGAAAGAAGGCATAGGATCACATCGAACATCATACTTAATGACGTGAAAGGCGATGCTTCCTCCCCTGAAGTCAGGACAAGGCAAGGGTATCTGCTCTCACCATTCCTATTCTGTAGCACACTGGAAGCCCTGGTCAGCACAAGGTAAGTCAAGAAAAGGTGAAAAAATTAAGTATAGAGTTAAAAAGGAAGGAGTAGAACTGTCTCTATTTGTAGTTGATAAACGATAAAAATCTACGTAGAAAATCCCAAGTAACCAACAACAAAAAACAGAACTAAATGAGCTCATCAGGTTATAAGACACAAGATTAATATACAAAGATAAATTCTGTATGTGCTGGCAATGAACACATAGAAATGAAAATTAAAAACAATGCTGTTCATAATTAGAGAAATGAGACGCTTATGTATGAATCACACAAGGCATGCTATAGGACTTGTGTGCTGAAAATTACAAAACTGACTAGAGAAGTAAAAAGTCTACGTAAATGGAGAAACATGTCATGTTCTTAGACTAGAAGACTTAGCATAGTAAAGATGTCATTTCTTCCTAAATTGATCTATAGGTTTAATGCACTTCCTATCAAAATTCTAGCAAAGTTGATTTTTGAGATAACATACTTATTTTTAAATTTATATGAAAAGGTAAGCTAGAGTAAAGACTTTTGAAAAACAAGAGGAGAATTACTGATTTTAAGGCATACTGTAGAGCTGCATTAATCAAGACTGGTATGGGCAGAAGCATAGACAATAAGGAACCTCAGAAACAGACCTGCACAAGGTCTAGCTGACTTGTCAGCATTCAGTGAACGACATTCTTCAACAAACAATGGGGTAGTTGGACATCCATAAACAAAAAAATCTTAACCTAAGCCTCTGATTTTATACACAAATGAACTAAAAATGGATCATAGATTTAAAGGTAAAACTAGAAACAGAAGAAAACAAGTGAAAAATCTTCACTAGGACCTAGGGCTAGGTGAAGAGTCCTTAGATATGACACCAAAACAAACCAGAAAAGAAATTGATTAATTGGACTTCATCAAAATTAAAATTTTCAAGTCACATCTGACATAGGATTCATGTCAGATATATAAACTCAAAACAATCCAATTAGAACATGGTCAAAAGACAGACAGACATTTCAGCAAAGAGGATATTTCATGTGTTCAACACCATTAGCTATTAGGAAAATGCAAATTAAACCACAATAGCATTATTATACACCTATTAAAATAATAGTGACTATCAAATTCTGGTGAGGATACAGAACAATTGGATTTCTCATACATTATTGGTGGGAATGTTAAATAGTACAGCCACTCCAGTATATAGTTTGGTAGGGTCTTTTTTTTTTGATATTGCTTAAAAATATTTTTTATTATAGTCTGTCATAAAAAAGTCAGTAGAGGTTCCACTCTGTCCCAGATGCATCTGGGAAATCCAAGCCCTGTGCCATTCAAATCGTGAGCATCTCAGTGATGTCCCATTTCTTATCCCAGCCGAGTGCACACTTTCCATGTTATTTCTGTCCATTGAAAGCTTCCAAATCCAAATGACCAAATAATTCTTTATCCCCAAAGTAAGCTCAAAATGGTTGGTTCAGGCACTGCAGGATCTGCACCCCGGTAAATCATGAGAGGAATAAAGCTCCAGTAGATGGCAAATTAGCCTAAAGAGGTGCTGCAGCCTCTTTGCTCAGCTTCACCATGGCAATGGCCTGGCAGTTTTTCTATAAAACTAAACATATATTCACATGTGACCCAGCAATTGCACTCCTGGACATTTATCCCAGAAAAATTAAAACATGTCCACAGAAAAACATAACAAGTGTTCACTGCCTCTTTTCTTACAATAACCCCAAACTGGAAACAACCCAAATATCCTTCAATGAGTAAATGATTAAACATATTGTGGTCTGTCCAAATCATGGAATACTACTTAGCAATAAAAAGAAACAAATTACTGATACATGCAACAACTTGGATGGGTCTCAGGGGAATTATACTGAGTGAAAAAAGCAGTCACAAATATGACATATAATTGCATTTTTATAACTATCAAATGGCAACGTTAAAGAGATGGAGAATATGTTAGTGGTTGCCAGGGGTTAGGGATGGGGGAGTAAGGGGCATGTGTGACTATAAATGGTAGCATGAGGAAGATTTCTGTGGTGATGGAACAGGTCTGTGTTTTTGCTTATGGTGTGGTTACACAAATTCATACATGTGATGAAACAACTACACACACACACAAATGGGTGTATGTAAACCTGATGGAATCTATGGATTGTGTCAATGTCAATTTTCTTGTTTTATACAAGATGTTATCGAGGGAAATGAAGGGTACCTATGACCTTTCTGTAATATTTTTGCAACTTTCTGTAAATCCATATTTCAAAATAAAGAGTAAAAAAAAAAAAAGGCTTATAGGGAATTGTGTAAAGACCCAACATTATGATTCAGATTAAAATCCTATTATCTGTGGGCTGCAGTTCTGTTTAGGTGTGGCAGTGGTCGGGGATAGGAGGTCATTCTGGTTACCTCCATTCCATCAGAACCTCTGCCTGCCAGCAACTGTAAAGGTGCCGATCCCATCATGGCCTTTTTTATTTTTGAAGAATGAATGAATTAGCAGTGAAGTGTGTCTTTATTTTAATAACAGTTGATATAAATGGCAACAACTTTCCAAGTGGTACACGCCCTAAATCCTCGAAGGGAGGAGGGTGGGCCTCCGGGGCTGGATGCTTCCTCACCACCTTTGTCCTCAGTGTCCTGTGAGCTCAGCCTGTACAGGAAGAGCCTTCCAAGTCCTCTGGGCAAGGAGAGTATAAATCTAGACATTCTGTAAGGGCAGTTTAATTCCCACTGGGGCCTCAGGGCCTGGTGGGTGTCAACAAATGTTGACAATTTGTGCTAAATAAATTCATTCAACAAAACTAAGACAAATTCCTGCCTGCAGGAAGCTGGTATTCCAGAAGGAGACATAACCAATATACAAGTAAACAATAATTTCAAAGTATAACAAGGGCCATGAAGGAGAATACAGGGGCAGGGACACCCTGACATAAGGAATGAGAAATAGCTAGTGGAAAGAAAAGCATTCAAAAGGGAGGGAACAGAATGTGCAAAGGCCCAGAGGCAATATGAGTTTGAGCAAGAGCACAGTGTGAAGTTGGCAAAGAGGGTAGGGGTCAGCTCCCAGGGGGCCTTATAAGCTACAGTGTTTCATTTGCTCACAAAGCCCTGAGCTGAGGTAATTACTGTCTTCAGTTTCTGTTTGGAGGAACCATGGCTCAGAGAAGCCCCAGTCTGGGCCCAGGTAGAAAATGAGAGGGTAACTTTGTAGTCTCTTCACTCCTGCATTCTCTAAGTCAGAGAATCCACTTCAGAAAGTTCTAACAGAGTCCCCCCTCCCTCCAGGCTCCAGGCAGGCCCTTCTCCACTGCCCCCTACAACTTTGGGACATACCAGGAATGGAAGTCCTGGTCCCTTCTAAGCGTTCTTGAGGAGCCAAGATGGCGGCGTGAGTAGGACAGCGGAAATCTCCCAAAAACATATATATTTTTGAAAATACAACAAATACAACTATTCCTAAGTGTTCTCGATGGGCTGGCAACCACAGGAGTTTTTTTTTTTTTTTTCCTTTTATGAATGGGAGACTGTCAGGCTGAATTCAGGCCCCAAAATAAGTCAATCTCCTTTGTCATTTCAGTGGATGATGATGTCAAAAAAAAAAAAAAGGATTTCCGTGCTTGTCTTTCCCTCCTCTCCCGTCTTCTTCTCTGGCTTCCCT